CACGCGGGGGGATGAACGCGGGAGAGGATGACGGAGGGAGAGACGCGCACGGCACATAACAATTAGGTCGCGTTGCGTTGAATTCTAAGCAGGCTAGTGAACCGATCGTGAGCCACTGTCGCGAGATAAATGCGGCCTTAAACGATACCGATATAGACGGGCTGCTACGCCGATCGCTTGCCAAACCGACTCGACCGCCGACAACCCCCTATATACCCTCTCTCTCTCTCTCCCCACTCGCTCGCCTTTCTCGTTACCCGACTCTTTCTTTCCTCGCCTTTCTTCGCCCCTTCACCCATCCGTCTTACCGATTCCACTCCTTTTCTGGACTATATGAATCTTTCTTTCTCCGCGCTCTTCCTTTCGACTCGTCCACGTCCACGTCCAACGCGCATTCCTCGATTCCATCTTTCTTCTTTCGGGATACTTTATTTCGTCCCCGACTAGGTTTATCCCATTCAACCACGCCAATCGTTTCGCGTCTTTTTTCAACTTCGCGTCGGATACCGATAAATCAAAATCCCATTTCCAGATCGATCGTTTCTACCCGCGTATTAGGTGGAAAAAACGGAGAGATGGCTTCGAATTTCGGCTTATTGCGTAGAAATTCGTGCCGAAAAGAGCTCGCCTTTATCTTCTCTCTCTCGTTTTCATTCGCCTCTCGCTCTCTTTTCCTCCCTTTCCTCCCTTTCCTTTCGTTCCTTCTTCGTGGCGAAACTCGCACTCCTCCCCTTCTTCGTCTCGTAGCACGGAGCGGACAAGGCAAGGGTTTCGAGTCCCCGAGTACGACCACGATACAATTGTTACGAGGCTTGTTAGAGTTGTCGCGGCCTAATGGCGCACTTTATTATCGGCCTCCGCCGGGACTCCGCGGCTGCATCCGCGCTGGATGCGTTTAAATCACCGCCCTTTGACGCATTAGTCCCGGTCCCGACTCGCTTCGTCCTCCAATACTCGAGTCGCGTGTTCCGATGACGTCCGAACCCGTCGAAACGGGAGATCGTAATTGGAATGTATCGCGCGCCACCATTTTTTATCCCACCGAAATCGCCGGCTTGCGTTCCATTTCCAAACCGTCACCACTCTCCTTTCTTTCACGATATGAACGCACACTTTTCTTTTTTCTTCTTTCTTTCTTTCTTTTTTTCTTTCGCGTATAGAAAATTTTTTTACGTTGAAAATCGTGACATTTCGCGTAAACGAGAGAAATTAGTTTGGACAACTCACCCTTCGGTTTATCGTGCGCTAATGCCCTTTGAAAGTGTTCCTCCACTTCGGACGCAGCATCCCCTCGATAATGGGTGAAGACCACGCAATTTGTGCTCACGTATTGCGCTATGCTCTCGCCATCGTCGGAATCTTCCGCTGCGGTCCCGGTACCTACAGCTATAAGCCAATTAGAAAGGGGACATTTGTCAGGATTGACCGATATCTTACGATTCCAAATAATATTCTTTTTCTTACGAGATACCGTTTCAACAATCGTATCGTACAATTTCGATCTACGCGGTAAACGTTCCAACTCACCGTCCGTCGATCTGTCATCGTCCAATGTTCTCGAGGGTTGCGAGGCGGTCGATGCAACGGGTGGCCGTGGTTGAGGAGTTGGCCTTGGCGATGCCGGACTAGGTGCCGAGCCGACGGAACCTGCGCTGCTCTGTTGCCCTTGTGGAACACTTCCACCAGCTGGACAAATTTGCCCGAGTGGTCTTTGGTGAACGTTCAACTGTAAGAACAAAAAAGGGGAAAAATCGCGATATCTCCTCTTCGTCTATATATATATATATCCGTCCGCACATCGAGAAATATAATAATCGGGCAAAAAGAAATTCGTTTCGTTTCAACGGTTATTTTGTCGTGTTTCGATAAATATCTGTCACAAAGTTTGATAAAACGTTTAAAGATAAATTATTAACGATGTTTACACAATTTACATGGTAATTAAGATAATCGCGATTTACGATTAAAATTCATCGCTTTCGCGTATCTCGATAAATTTCACAACATCCTTTCACTCGCGATTTTCACACGATTCTGACATCGCGTGTACGTTGTGTACGGACCTACGTGATATTTATAATTATCAGAGTTCGAATAAGCAATAATTTTCACGATTTCAAATGTAGGCGTTCGTTTATTCACGCGATACGTTCGATCGATTTCAACATATTCAACGGAAAATTTATTTCATTTTCCATCGATCAATAATTATATTATTTTCCATTCTCTAAATACCAACGAGCATAAATTCGAATAACGTATTCTTCATCGATGATCAATATTTCCGTAAATTCCTCCTTAAAAAAAAGAAAATTCGCGTCTAGTTCTAATCTGATACACCTTATCGCCTTATTTTCCATTTCCTCGATCGTTCGAATCGTGGAGCAACGATCGTCGAATTTTCGAAGCAGCCTCCTCCTGGACATCCCTCGAGTTCCCTCGATAAAATATCGAGGGAATGGTCGGTGGACGAAACGCTTCGACATCAACGTCCACAATTCCAGGGATTTTACCACCCTCCGGCCGTAAGCCACCCTCGCCAGTCACTTGGCGAATCCGGCGAGCGGACGCGTCGCCGTGGTCGATTCACGTTTAGTAGGTAAATCGTACGAACCACGTCCTTAGAAGAGGGGCCTCCATTGAGCGCATACCGACGCCAGGCGTCGGCGTCCATTGTACCTCCCACCCGCTCGGTCAGACTGCAAATAGCGCGAGAGCTATGCTATGCGCACCGGCATCGTCGTCACGGCCGCCGCTCGCAATCAGACCAAATAGGACGTAATGCTCGCTATTCATTAGATCCTACGGATGCAAATGCCACGCTGGGTCATGGCATTCTGCTCGAATTTTTTCCACCGCGCCAAACCCTTCCCCTCCCCTCCACTCGATCGCGCACGCGACGCGACAAGCCAACTATTCGGCCACCGTTCGATGGATCGAAACACGATGGATGCCAGTGCTCGAGATGCTCCACGAGAACCACGCGCAACGTCGTACGCTCCACGTTTTCGCCCCTATCCCTTCTCCTTCGTTTTCGAAAACGAAATCCCGAGAAGAAACTAAATAACAAAAAATAGGAGTAAAAACTATGAATCCGCACCGTCTCGAAATCGGGGGCAAAGGGAAATTGTACAACATCTCAACCGTGAAGGAATTCTATACGAGGAACGTACAGATGGACGTCGATGATGCGCTTCGAATCGTATATCTCGATCGGATGAGCGATATGGCCCGGGAGAGCGTTGGTCGCGTGGTTCATCGCGAACGTCGAAACATCGCGCGCCTCGACGTCGATCAATTCCGCGCGATATAATCCGGCTGTGGATTATTCGAGGAACTCGGAGGACGCGAACGTTTCGATCGGAAACCGGCCAATCGTGCCAACCGCTACGTAATTTTAACTAGCCGATGTTCGTTTGCCCGCTGGCTATCGAGAGTCGGTCGTGTCTTTG